TCCTGAGATGACTGTCCCCTGGATGTCTGTCTCCTGGGTTGAATGTCCCCTGGATGTCTGTCTCCTGAGATGACTGTCCCCTGGATGTCTGTCTCATGGGTTGAATGTCCCCTGGATGGCTGCCCCTGGTAAAGGCAGAAATGGAAGTGTGCTGTGCTCCATCTTGCCCTTTCTCACTGTCCACGGCCCGACACATCGCGAGTACCAACCAGTCAGTGCATGAGGTCTCCCCTGAGTGCCAGACACGGATTTAGTACACCCCCAGGCTTTGCCACTTCTGACTCTTCTGTACCCAGACCTGGACGTGGGCCAGGTTCCCGGCAAACCCTCATTACGCTAAGGAGACTCCAGGAGCCCTCACAGCATTCTGGAGAGCTGCACTCCCACGGCACCTCTAGTTTCCTTAGGGCTCCTTAGAGGCACATTCTGCAGGGCCTCCCCTCTAGCCAGGTGCATCTCCAAGCCCCCTCTACCTCCTCCCCTCCCACCCCCCCCCAGGCCCAGGTGCTCACCTGTCTTTTTGCTTTGTGTGTCTCTCATCTCCCAGTACGTTGTCAAGACAGTGGAGGTGGAGTCCCCCAAAATCAAGCAGGCCCTCAGTGAGTCGCAGAGCCGCAACCAGCACCTGCAGGAGCAGGTCGCCATGCAGCGGCAGGTGCTGAAGGAGATGGAGCAGCAGCTGCAGAGCTCGCACCAGCTGACGGCCCAGCTCCGGGCGCAGGTGCGTGGGGCGTGGGCGCGCGTATGTGTGTGTGCGCGTGCGCGTGTAGGTGAGAGTGGGAACACCAGCAGGTAAGCCCTTAGGAATCAACAGACCTGGGGTCACAAGTCCCTGCTCCCTGCTGGCCACGTGACCAAGGGTAGGTTTTGCCGTTAGTGTTCATTTCCTCATCTGCACCGTGAATCTAAGCACACATCCATTCATGGGGGCTCAGGACGTAATCCACAGCGCGTGGCCCATAGAGTGAGCTCAGTGAGTGACTTTGCGCCCCTTGTCAAGTTCCTGACACCACGCAGTTTGGCCCTGGGGTGATGCAGGGAAGTGGCAGCTGACGGAGCTGCCAGCTGTGTGGGAGTGAGGTGGCCATTCAGCCCCGCGTGCTCTGTGTGCATGTTCACATATGGGTGAGGGCCAGCGCGCCTTTCCCAGAGCTCCCAGCAGTGACACTGAGCCCTCTCCTGGCCCTGGTCCCTAGATCGCCATGTACGAATCGGAGCTGGAGCGGGCGCACGGGCAGATGCTGGAGGAGATGCAGTCCTTGGAGGAGGACAAGAACCGGGCCATCGAGGAGGCCTTCACCAGGGCCCAGGTGGAGATGAAGGCCGTGCATGAGAACCTGGCAGGTGAGCCCGGCCGCTCTGCCCCCCCGCCCCGCGCTGTCCATCTTGACCTTGTTCCACCCAGCTCAGCGCCTCCTCCCATCTGTGGGACCCTCTCGTATTCCCTCCAGGTGTCAGGACCAACCTGCTGATGCTGCAGCCAGCGCTGCGCACCCTCACCAACGACTACAACGGGCTCAAGAGGCAGGTGCGCGGCTTCCCCCTGCTGCTGCAAGATGCCCTCAAGAGCGTCAAGGCTGAGGTGAGCGCAGGCCCCCCGGGGAGCCCTTCCAGAGCCGCTCGCACATGTCCCCCAGAACCCACGCTGCCACCCTTCAGCCTTGTGTGAGAGTCAGACTAGGGGCAGAGCAGGTATTAAGTGTGTATCGTATCACTGATCGTTAAACCTGATGTGCTCGGGGACTCACATCTAGTGTGACACCCCCTTATAAACAATTACAACGTCAGATGTTTCTAAAAAAAGCTACAAGTTGTCTCATGGTGAGCTCACGGACCTTTCAGAGTTGTCCCACATGTGGCAAGGCTGCTGAACCTTTGCACACTCGTACACAACTGAGGGACTGGGAAGGAATTCTCCTCAGGAGGGGATGCAAACGTGGGCAAAGCATCTCTCTTTGTGCAGTGTTAGCTTAAAAGTTGGCTTTCCTAGCCATTAAGTTAGCTTTCTCTGGTCTCCAGCCACCTTAACTGTAGACACATGGTCTTGCAAATCATCAACAGTTACGGGACTAAGATAAGAGACAGAGTGCTTCCCACGTGGAGCAGCAAGACCCTGGTGAGAGTGAGACCTTGGTGGCAAGACTCTGGTGATGGTGGTAGAGAGACTGTGGCATTGCGGTGGAGAATCTGTGGCAAGGTGTAACCAAAGGAGCCCTGAGATACAGGCCACAGTTAAAGGTTTTACTGTTCTTACTGGATGATGTAAGGAAAAGCTGACTGCTAAATTGAGACTGGAACCTGTACTGAGGAATTGTATGCGTCTTGGAACTGCTAGACTAAATCCTGGATTGGCATTCGGTAATATTCCTTGCTTTCCTCACTCTCCCAACTTACTTCTCAGTAAACCCCATTCTCGGTACCACACACACAAAAAAAATGAGGTTAAGTGCTTAGATGCCAACTCACCGGTCACTCTGGAAAGAAGGGTGAGACCATGTGCTTCCAGAAGGGCTTTCCCTAACACCTTGGAAATCTCATGGGGCAGTTCCCCTCCATCCTGTGAAGTGAGAACTGGCTTGACAACAATAGGTAAACCAAACATAAATATCACCTGTGTCCATGCCCCAAGCATGCTGTGTTTATTCTGTCTCAAACATGGCTCGTATAGTCTTGCATTTCTATCAAGCTTAGTTTAATTTCTTTTTCACCATGTACAGTGTGCAAATAGCCAGTGTCTCACGTGCTGAGCCTCTGATAGTTGTGAGCTCCTTGGATTTCCTGCAACAGCTCTGCAGGGTCCCAGGGACCGACGTAACTTTGGCGCCGGAAGAATAGTTATTCTCCTTTAGAAAGATGATCAGTGATAACGTGGACGTGGTGAAAAATTGATGCTGCAGCTGAAAGGAAAAGGCTTATCATGTCTCCCTCCCCCAGAGGCGACCATCTCCCCCCCCCAGGGATGTTCTGGGGGATCTAATCCCATTGCTGAAGGTGTGCACGTGTCTCAATGACCCAGCAAAGGGGACATGCGTGCTGCCGTTGAACCTCTGTGGAGTTTAGCTTGGAGACCGGCTTGTGCAGATACGCTTGTTAGATGGTGCTGTCTCATTTTACAGATGGGACAGTTGAGGCTCAAAGACACTGGGCCAGGTGCCTCGGGTTCCCCACCCACTCAGAGCTGGACGTGGAGTCCAGCGGGCTGTGACGGACGCCCGAGCACTAAGTGCTTTGGGATGAGGGTGGAATACTGGCTCTTCCTTTATCAGCGAGGTGGCCGGGAACTGTTGACTTAGCCTCTCTCACATTGTTTCTTCATCTCAAACCTGGGCCAGGTGGCAGGACCTCCTCCGAGGGCTTTTTGTTGGGAGCCCTGCCGTGTGGCAGCATGTGTAGGGCGGAGGTTGTGGCAGCATGTGTAGGGCGGAGGTAGGGTGGAGAGGCAGGCAGGGCCGATGGAGGCCGCTCCCCTTGACACCGCTGTCCACCCCCCCCAGATCGGCCAGGCCATCGAGGAGGTCAACAGCAACAACCAGGAGCTGCTGCGCAAGTACCGCCGGGAGCTGCAACTGCGCAAGAAATGCCACAACGAGCTGGTGCGGCTGAAAGGTGCCTCCCTGGGGCACAGGGGCAGCACACACGGCCCCAAACCGGGCCTGGGAGCGGTTCTGCCCTGCCCAGCAGCCACGGGCGCCTCTCCTTGGAGCGGTGCCCTGTCCGTGAGGTGCTTTGATAACCCTCCATTTATAGAGAGTGGCACGTTCTAGTTCTCGTGGTGAGAACCTGCGTTGCCAGCCCAAAGGCACGTGGTTCACACCTACCAGCTGCTCTGTGGGAGGAAGATGGGCAGTCTCCTCTCCTGCGATTTACTGCCGCTGAAGACCCACTGGAGGGTCAGCTAGGAGTCAGAAACTATCTGACCCAATGTAACAGTATTTATAGATAAGGAGACCGGTACAGATAGTTTGGGGAACTTTTGTAAGTGGTCCAACTTAGATTTGGACTCAGGTCTGTCCACGCTGAAGCCTGCCCCAGTGTTCATGGTGTAAGCCGGCCACCATTCTCTGGGTGGCTCCGAGGTGGGGGCATTGCAGCACTGGGTGACAGACAGGTGGCTGGGATGACACTAATTCGACCTGTGGCCTGTCAACCTTGAGAGTCACCCCCTACATAAAGGTCTACGGACCCAGGGCTGTTCCAGGAGCCGAGGACTTGACCTTGAACCACAGATGCTCATGTTAGGTAGTCCCTAGACCCCCAGAGATATGAACATTACTCCTGGCACTAGGGCTAGGGAGGGTCTTTGAGAGCCCCCCGGAGGAATAGCTGACAGATGGAAGTTTCAGAGAGCCTCCTGGAGGTGAGGTTAGGCCTGGCCTGTGAGCTGGAGCTGTGGTGGGTGGTTTGTCATTCTGAAAGCAGTAGAACAGGAGGCTGGGGTAACCATATCCAGACTGGCCCCCCTCGGCCTCCCGGCTGTCCTCGTCACGTACCTGCCAGTCACCCCGTTGCTCCCTGGTCCTGTTTGCCCATCTGATTCCTCAAAGTGAAGTTCACACCATCCCCTGGGGTCCTTGGGAGGAAAGCTCAGTGAATTCCTCCTGTAATGTGAGTGGCTGCGAACAGCTTTGTAAGCCACCTTGCCCTCTGCAGCGACGGCAGAGGGTCCCTGAGCCATCTGACTGCTCTCAGCACCAAGAGGCACCAGAGTGGACTGTCTGACTTTGACCCAGCCTGAACCCGTCTCTCCACCCTCAATCATCGCAGGGAACATCCGGGTGATCGCCCGAGTCCGACCAGTCACCAAAGAGGATGGGGAAGGGCCTGAGGCGGCCAATGCCATCACCTTCGATCCTGACGACGACTCCATCATCCACCTGCTGCACAAAGGAAAACCAGTGTCCTTCGAGCTGGACAAGGTCTTCTCCCCGGAGGCCTCACAGCAGGACGTAAGTGCAGTCTAAGGCTCAACAGAGAGCAGGAGGTGGGGGTAGACAGACAGGAGTGGAAGAGACAGGAGTGAGGCGTGAGAAGCACGGGGCCACGGCCCTTCCCGCTTCCCTCTCACGCAGGCTGGGATCTTCCCAGAGACTCCCCAAGCCTGCTGTCAGTGCTGTGCCCTCAGCCCCGGGAGACCATCCCTGTGGGCTCAGTGTCAGCCTTGTCCGGCTCTGCCTGTGGCCGTCCTCTGTCCACTGTGGAGGGGGCCGCGGGCAGGTGGGCGGAAGGTGCTCGGGGAGGCACAGGGACACCCACACGTTGTTGTGCTCTCCTCTCCCTGAGAGGACCTCCTGCGCTCCAGCGCAGGCAGCCGTGGCTCAGTGTCTGGTTTCCTGGCGTGTCTGACGTGACATCATGGCTAACGTGAAAGGCACTGTGTGTAATGTGGATGATGTGCCTCACGTGCATGACGTCATGACTGAGGTGAAAGATACGCTGT